TGTATGGTGTGAGATAGGGATCAAGGTTTGTTTTCCACCATATGACTATCTAAGTGATCAAGCACCATTTATTGAAAAGTCCATCTTTCCCTCACAATACTACAGTGGGATTCTTGTCATAATCAGGTGACTGTTTATATGTGGGTCTATTTTTAAATTCTCTGTTCTCTTCCATTTGTCTAATTATCTTACTTTGTTTTTGAGTTCTATACCTTTATAGTAATTCTTGGTATATTCTACTGTAAATCCTCCAGCTATTTTCTTATTTGTCATGATAAGGCTAGTCTTATCCCTTTGCATTGTCATACAAATTTTAGAATCAGCTTGTCAATTTAAAAAAAAAAAGCTTGAATTTTAACTGGAATTTCATTGAATCTATAGACCAATTTGAAGAGACCGATGCCTTTCCATAGTGTGTCTTTTAATCCATGGGCATGAGACTGGTTTAGTCATCCCTCCTCATTTATTTAGGTCTTCTTAATTTCTTTCAGGGATGTTTTGTAGTTTTTCATGTAGAGGTCCTGCTCATCTTTTGTGAGATTTATTCATAAGTATTTGATGGTTATGATGCTATTGTAAATCGTTCTTTTAAAATTATATATTCTAATTTTGTCAGTATGTTGAAACAAAATTGATGTTTTATGCTGCTATTGTATCAGTGATGTTGTCAAATTCACTTATTATTTCTAATAGTCTGGATTCTTATAGATTCTATATGTACACTATCATGACATATATGACTAATCACAATTTTATTCTTGTTTTCCAATCATTATATCTTTCTAATTTCTTTTCGTTTACTTAAATCACTACACTGACCAAGACTGCCAGTATAATGTTGACTACAAGTGGTGAGAATGGACAAAGTTAGGAGCCTTTTGAAAACCTAGGTACCCAGGTCTCATCCCCTCAAAATTCAGCAAGTCCAGGTTGGGGGCCTTGAAAATCTACATTTTAACAAGTATTCTAAGTGATATAAATGTAGGGGTGTCCTAGAAACACACTTTGAGTAATATTTTTAAAGTTTCACTTACCTGAAGAGTTTTCTTGATTAGGATGGATTATTGCTCTCTTCTTTCTTCCTTCTCTTCCCACCTTCATCTTCTTCCATGCTAGTGATAGATGTATAAAATATTACTTTTTTGAGCACTCTATTTTGCTGCTTCTCTTTCTCTGTCTCTAGGTCTGGAGATAACATGCATGTATGGGGTCTTCAGTGTTAAAATATTGACTGGCTTTAGAAAAGAAAAAAATCCTCATCCTGAGTCAGCAGTCCTACTCAAAAAGAAGAAATCTTTTTTCCAAAAGTATATTCAAAAGTTGTTGAGATCACAGTTGAATTCAGTTCTTTCTGTATACACACCCACACCCACACCTGCACACATACAAACAGTCATAGGGGTGTTGCCACATGATGTTTGAAACAGTATGAGGGGAAAAAAACAGATTCTAAAGATGTACAGTTGTATAAAATAAAACTTGAATAATATGAAATCACTTGAAAGAAATATGGATACCATGTGGTTTCCCAAATATGGTTAGTTCCAAATCAAAGGAACAATATATTTTCTTAGATTAAGGGACAAAATATGCCATGGATATTCATGGAAGGAAGAAGAGATAGAAAAATAGCTGCGAATATCATAGAGTATTAGAGCTGGGCGGGGCCTTTATGATCGTATTAGCTGACCCTGCCATTTTTATAGCTGACGTGACAGATCCAACCTGGTAGAGTGAGTGACTTGCCCAGTGTTACTTGGTGAGGTAGTGGTAGTACTGGGCACAGCATCCAGCAACCCAGATTGCACCCCAGAGCTTCTTGCCTGATGTCACTCAGATAGTTTATGATAAGAGATCACATATATGAACGGAATCCCAGAGAATAAAGAATGTGTATACATCAGAACAAACCCACAGAAGTGAGTCCTTCATGCAGGATGAGAGGGAGCTACATGAAATGGGATCAATTTTGTGAACAAATTGTAATAAAGATGTGAGAAAGGAGGCAAAGTGAAAAGGAAATGGGAAAAACTAGTGAAACAAAGAAAACAGTAAATTAGGGAAGTCAAAAAATGGAAGATAATAGACATAAAAATACAATACATTAATTCAAGAACATGTAGACAGATGTAGTATTTTTATGTCATTTTTGTCAAAAATGTATCTAACTAGAATTGTTTCAATAATAAAATGTCCATAATGAAATTGTATGAAAGTACATTTAGACTCCTTTAAAGAAAATTACACCTAAAGTAATGGCAAAGTTAAGTTCTTAATCTTCTTAAAATGCTGAAGGAAGAACATCTAGAAATCCAAAGATGTACTTCTCTATATCAAGAACCATTCAATGTAAAATCAAAGAAACACAGGGAAACCTAGGGCTAGGTGTTTCTTCAAATGACTCTACTGGGTTTTATTTTTAAGACATGGTTGAAGAATGAAAATACAGTGGGGTGGAGAATCCCAAATATTTTGAACAATCAAGTGGTACTGCCTTAATTCAAAGAGAGGTGGAGTTTTTACAGTATTCAGAATTGTTGGACTCAATTTCCTTACTTTTGCACTTCCTTAAGAGCCTGAACCTAAATGTTACAATCATAATATTTGTTTGCAACCTGACTAGCCATGTAAAAGCATTAACCTTCATGGTTCATTTGATGAGCCAAAGACTTCTGTTGTACCTCCTGGGAGAGGAAACATCCTTTTTTAATCAATGTTTAACAGAGATAAACGGGACATAATCATGAGGCAAAAGTCATAGAAAAGTGAATTTTAAGTGTGGCTAGGCAACCAAATACATACACTTAGCAAACTAATATACTAGTTAAGGACACAGGATTTAAAATCAAGTAGACATAGGTTTGGTCCCCAGTTCACTCCTTACTACTCATTACTTATGTAACAACTCCTTCTTTCACTTCTCTCCTTACCCCTCCCTCTCTTCTCCCTTCTTCTGTTAAAAGATATCTATTGAGCATTTACTATGTACTGGGTTCATGCTGTAGATTAGCGGGCGAGTTATCTGACATTGCTGAGGGAGAACATGGAAAGTTTATAGGGAAGAAATTTGTGGTGTGTGACACAAGCAAAGGTGTAGATGCAGAAGTAAGCCAGACTGGGACAAATCTGAGCAGACTGGAAGCAAATAATGGGGGATGTGCTTGGAAAAACATGTTAAAGTCAGTTTGTGAAGGGCTCCGCATGCCAGGATAAGCAATTTCAAATTAACTATGCAGATAATTGGCAAACAATTGGAAACTGAACAATTCAGAAGGACATCTAGTACAGAAAGCCAAAGGAGGAGATTACTTCAAGAATAGTTTACTATGTACTTCAGAGCAGACAACAAAGAAATGGATTTAACTGTTAAAAGGATATGATGACCACTAAAATAACTTTGTTTGGGTGGTGGGGATAGAAACTAGTGGTGGGGTTGAAAGAGGGGACTGAGGGGGAAGACATGGAGCCTGTGGGGCAAGCGTTCCATGGGAAGCTTTAGCAGAATGGGAAGGAAATAGTCTGGTAGAGATTGAGAAAGCAGTGAGGCCAAGGGCAGCTATATTTTTCCCAAGATGAAGAGTTACTAGCTATGTGTGAAGTAAAAAGACCCGTGTAGAGAGACTGAAAATTCTAGGGTGCAAGAGTTTGAACTGACAGCTGAAGTGCAGAGGGAAGTCTTGCAGAGCTGGGGCAGCACTTCTTCCTCTGAGATTGAAGGGTATGACTTGACACTGAGATCTTTTTTGTAGCAGGGAGGGAATCAAGGCAACGTTTATCTGTGTACTCCAGGTGAGCTCTTATTAGAGAGTGGCAACATCAGGCTACAAAAAGACCAAGTGACTGAGACTGTAGAAAGACGAACATCAAAGAGTTTAGCCCATCAATAGATTCAGTAGGAGCATCAAACCATTCTGATTCACACTCCAGAAACCTTTCTACTTCCTTCTGTGCTGTGTAATGTGGGAAGGTTGCAGTGCAAACATTCAAAGAAATGTAAAGCGCCCTTGATCTTCACCTCAATGGCACAAGGTTATGGAGACTACAGGTCCAACGCAAAGACCATTATTTGTCGCTGAAGTCACCAAATAAAGAGAAAGTTAAAGGTTAAAATGAATGGATATTTATGTAGACATAAACACATCCTAGAAGTTAGTGATTTTAGAAGAGGGTCACTCAATTCTGTGTGAATATGCCTAGTCTACATTCAAAGCATCAACTCTGAAAACTTTATTGCTGAACTCCTCCCAAACTTGTATATACTTTTCTTCTATCCTCCACCTCCAGGGTTCAAGGGGGCAGGTAAGACAGCTTCTGAGGATTGCAGCTCTGGTTGCATCTTTATTTGAGCTCCGGTTTGGGAAAGAGGGAGCAGAGGGGTACCCTGTGTGCAGAGCCCTCCTCAGTGACCACCAGGGGCTTGCACTCCAGCAATAATAATTCCACGCAAGGAAAGCTGAAGTTTTTAAATCTGGCCAGGCATCCTCAGTCTGGAGAATCCTGTGGGCTAAGGAGACCCTAGTGTGCACTTGAAGAGCAGAGTAAGTGCGTTTGGCGGGAGAGGGCACAGTGCTGACTGAGCATCTTTGCTTTGGAGTCTTCCCTTTCTCATCAGCCTATCTGTGCCAACAGCTGAAAACTGGGGCTGCGGGCAGGAGGCGGGCTGTCAATCAGGAACACTGACCCATTGGCCCTGTGGCTGCAAGAGGAGTTAGGGGAACCCTGGGCGCAAGCCTGGGATAGCCTGATCTCTGCTCCAGTCCACAAATCCTTAACGGATTTTCTTTCTCTCCCTTCACCCTTTTCTCTCCTTTGCTCTCTTTCTTTCTCTCTCCCTCTTTTTTTTTCCTTTTTCCCCTCTTTTCCCCCTCCCTCCCCGTCCCCTTCCCTTCCTCTCCCATCCCCCTCTCCCCTCCCCCTCCCCGTGTGTGAGCCTCTTCCTTTCCCCTCCTTCCCTTTTCCGCCTCTCTCCCTCTCTCTCTCCATCTCCTTCTCCCTCTCAGCTCGCCGGGCGACCCTGCTCCTGCCTCCCACATTAATGGCGGCATCTTCGGAGGATGATATAGACCGGCGGCCCATCAGAAGAGTCCGCTCCAAGAGCGACACGCCGTACCTCGCCGAAGCCAGGATCTCCTTCAACCTAGGGGCAGGTAAGGACGACCCTCTCGCCTTGCTCTCTCCCCCACCCGGCTTCCTCGTCTCACTTCCCTCCTCGCCGGCTGGCTCAGCCCCCTGCCCCTCCTTGGGTGTCCCCCTCCCGGCAGTGCCCTCCCTCCCGCCCCCCTTCCTACCCAGCCGGGCGCCGGGCTCGCTCTCTCGCTCTTTGTGTCGCCGGTATTCGGAGGGGTGTGTGTGTGTGTGTGCGTGTGTGTGTGTGTGTTTGTTGCGGAGGTGGGGGAGGGTAGTGCGTGGAGCCTTACATCCGCCCAGGAGTCACACGCGGGCTTTCCCCTTCCATGAGAAGAAAGTGTTGTCAGTGGTAACAATGATCTTAGGAATCACCAAGAGCTGGATCGGGATGCAAGTGCCCTGGCTGTGGGCGGAGGGTCTGGCAAGGCTCTGCTGGTGAGGTTTGCTGGCAGGGCTACTACAGGGTGGAACTTGGTGACATTCAGACTGGTGATTTTGCTGGGTTGATACCACTGCTGGGGTGTGGGCTGGGGAGAGAGTGGGGGGTTGACAGCTAGGAACAGGACCTCATGCTTTCACCAAGCAGTTGGAGAGCAACCCTAAGGATGATGATAGTAATAACACGGTCCATAGGATACATGTTAGGTGATTTGATTTTGTCACTGGTACTGGTGACCAAATTGGCCCAGATGGAATTAAGTGAAAAGGACAACTGAGGTAAAGGAGGGAGGAAGGTGGGAGGGAGGATAGAGAGGGAGGGAAGAAGGGATGGAGGGAAGGAAGAAGGGGCAGTAGAAAGGACTGAGGGATTCAGAAAATCAAACTGCTTCAGTTGAGACCTCTCAGGGTACCCGATAAGAGGCACCCAATGTCTGCTGTCCCCTCTGCTGCAGCTGCTCCAGATTCACAGGCCGACTTCACCCTCTGTTACTAGTAGATGGTCACTATCACTGGGAGGAAGTTGTTCACCACTAACTTCATAGTGCTGCCTTTTCTGAATGCCTCCTAAGCTCCCCAGGTTGTGTCTCTTCCTTTCTAGAGTCCCTTAATATTCTACCAATTCCAGCGCAAAAAGAGTGAGGGCATTTTTCTGAAGACCCTCCCTCAAAATAGGTTTGAAACCAGTTAATACCTTTTTCTTTAGAAAACTAAATCCCTGGAAATGGAAAAGAATCAAAGTATGTGTGTGCATGTGTTGGAGCAAAGAGGACCTTCAAATGATATGTACTGTATACACTATTGAGAAGTTTGGACAAAAGAGAAAACTCTGAGTAGAGAAACAAGATGTGGTGGCCACGTACCCATATCTTCACAACTGGAAGAATGGCAATTTGAAAGTACCAAAGTGGCCAAGGTCCTTGGAGTGTTATTTTCCTGTCTTGGTGATTTGGGGTTTTGATCATATGCTCCTTGTCATTCCTAAAATGTTTTCCTCTGGATTTAGGGCTAGGGAAATGAGGTCTCTATTGGGGGAAGCTTTGGCCATTTTTGTGGCATGCTGTAGTAGCCTATGGTCTCATTAGGGAACTCTTCATCCTTCACTTGTATGTTCCAGATTCAGGATATGGTTGTGAGGAGTCTTCAGAAGGACTGAGAAGAGTTTCTTTTGTGACTGAGATTGTTTTCTCACTGAGTGATATTAGAAATTGTACCACTGACCCCTTTGCTACCACACTCTGGTATATTCCTTAATGTCTTTGGCTTAGCACAGGAGAAAAAGGGCTAGAGTGGCAGTTAATAAAGGTTGTTTACCTTGTTTTACTTTTACAACAAAACAAGAACATAAAACACTAAAAGGGACCTTCAAGTTTCAGCCACTCCTGAGTTGGGTTGAGCCATTTTGCCACCAGATTAAATCCAGTGACTTGCAATCTTTTATTCTGGTTGAATTACTCTGGAGGCCAATTAAAAGATTGGACTTTTCAGACAAGACTAGTCTGCCTTTAATCTGGAAATAAACAAGCCCAACAAGCTCCCAGTCCCTTCCAAATGTCCGTTAGAATCCCCCTCAAAGCAAAATCAAGAAAGACACCAGCAAGAAAGAGAAATACCATCCGGAGGATGTTGGAAAGAAGGGAGGGGGACTGCAGTGGGCTGTGTTCTGCGGTTAAGGGAGCTGTCCTCCCTCTGTGGTGCTGAAGCGAAGGACTGTGTGACAGCGACATGACTGTAAGCGGGGGAGGGGTGCCCAGTCCCTCCAAATGATGGAATCCCAGGGAAAACACAGAAGATCTAGCCACCGAAAACTTTTCTATCCCTGCCCACCTACATTTACCGCCTGTTTACTATGCCTCACGCCTACTACTCCATGCTCAAATCAGGCAGTTCTGCTCTAATTTTGTGCAGGCTGCTCACTCTTGGCGCTTTGTTTATTTTCCAGCTGGTTTCTGGTTGCTTTCCTGACGTAGTGAGATCTACTCGCAGATGTGTCTTTCCCCCGCGTTTAAAAGTAATTGTAACCCCTGGTTTAAAAAGCAAACAGCCTTGTTTATCTCCTTGAGCAGCAAGTTGTAATTAAGCTATTAGTGTCGTTATCAGCATTACTGAACAGAGGAGCCTGCACACTTCGGATAAATTACATAATTTGGGCATAGAGAGAATTTTGTTTGTCTCTTAACAATAATTTATAAACAATTAAGCAAGGAAGCTTTAATCTGCCCTTTATTCCCACTCCTCTTCTACCCCTCAAATAGTCACTTACTGTTTATTCTTTCCAGAGAAATTCTTTATTGGTTTAAACTATTTATGTTTAATATTTGCTTTCTCACACCCACTTATTATATATAAGTCCATGTTTAATATTTTAGAGGTTTAGTAATGCTTCATGGAATAAATATACATATATTCATTTTATTTGCACATCACAAAATCATTTTGGGTACCAACTCCCTTAAACTAATCTATATAGTTGCCAAATAAAGTGGACTGGGCATTTTGAATACTAATTAAATACTTAAGCATCCTTTCAACTACATCTTGTCCCTGAGGGCACTTAATAATATCATTTCAGAAATAACTCCACAGCTTGAGTGAAGGATATCCTCCTTCACCTACAGTCCCAAGTCAGTCAAAGAATAGCACCAAAATGTGGGTCTTAAATCACTTTATGAAGATGCAAATTTCAAGTTTCAACCTAAACTAACAGAGTATAGAACAGAAATGTTCTGAACCATGACTTCCATTTTTTCTAAAAGAGCCCCTTTTATAGGTTTTTAACTTCTCTTCAGCACTTAGCATATTATGCTAATATTGATAATGATTGTTTACTGAAGATAGTATAAATGCTAGAGAAAATTAAGCCAAGGTATTTGCTGAAACTTACCCAGACACATCAGATCTCATTTAAAACATTGAAAGAGGTTTTTTTTCCTGAGAAATTAAAATGTGTTATAAGGACATCGTGTAACAGAAGAATATGTTCACACTATTAGTAGCAAGTGTTTCTAATTGTGTTCTCACTTGGTAATGAACATCACTGACATTCAGCTTGTGAGAACTTACTCTGCCTTATGAGGTCATTCATTCACTGCATTGAAGTAAATGCAATGAAGAGTTGCTGCTCATCTGGTGGATGTTTTCCTATAAGCTAGTGTGTTTTATTTATCTTTATATTAAGAGCACAGAGAAGAGTATTTGATACATAGAAGTTGCTGAAACTGAAAAGTTCTCTGCAATTACACACTGAGGTGAATGGAGGTACTATGGTAAATAGGAGATTTAAGCACATCAAAAATTTCTTAGAGCATGTCAAAAGAAGGAAAGCTAGTTACCCTGATGATTTAGAATTGTTAAAAACCCAAAACCAATATTGAGCCACGAATGAAAACAGTAAGTACTTCTCTAATCATAAGGAAGTTTAACCTTTGTTGACATTTCAGAATTGCTTTTGCATGGAGTAGATTTTAAGTTAATAGCATGGTCAGCCTCAGAATACCTATCCTCCTTGGGAGGTCAAGATCTGTTTTAGTTTCAATGTCACCCAAGAATAGCTGTTTCTGACTTCTACTGGTCTTCTCCATTCTTTTAGGCACAGAGGATAATGGCAGTCAAAATTGGCTTGTTCTGGCTACCTGTAAGAATGGCTGGGTCAGCCAGATTAAGTTATAAACTGGGTCTCAGGAGATCACTTTCCTGCCTTTCTTGAGGAGGAAAACTTTATCTCTTAGCTAAATTATGAAAACCTATGATACTGAGAAGTGACAGCCCAGAATGTGCCATTATCACTTAGCAATGAGAACTGTCCCTAGGCAAAATTGTGAATATTTTCATACTCACTCAAGATTGTTTCACCAATCTGAAGGTCTTGATAAGCATCTTCCTTCACTCTTTCACTGACGAATGCCAATGTCTCCCTCATAATATTTTTTTTTTTACTGATTTCAAATTGAAGGCAGATCATATGGGTCTGGATTTTATTTGATGGGCCCAAAATCTCCTTGAAAGTATTGCTTCTAAAATAAAGAAGAAAGAAGAAAGAAAGAAGAAAGAAAGAAAGAAAGAAAGAAAGAAGAAAAGAAAAGAAAAGAAAAGAAAAAAGAAAAGAAAAGAAAAGAAAAGAAAAAAAAGAAAGAAGAGAAAATACTGCTTTTCACATTCATTAGCCACAATCCAACTGGATGGCCATGTAGTTGACTAGAAACCTCTATTATGGGACTCTCTGAGGGTCTGTTGTTAAAGCTAACCAACCTGGTAATCTCATTATGTAATGCATTTAGATGCATTATACTCCAGGCAATATAAATAATATAAACAAGGTTAAGAAAAGTAAATAATTAACAATATGAGAAAATGGGAAGCCCTTTGCTATTAATATTTAATGTGGCTGCTTACCATGTCATCGTTTCAACAACAATCCATACGTTTATGAGACAACTCAAGTACAAAATCTGTGTCACATGGTAAATTTTCTTGGGATCTTTGGTCTAGGCATTATTAATTTTTTTAACATCTAAGTATTATATTTACTGTTATCACCAAATGATAAGTTACTTGTTTAAATTTGTCTGTAAGGGTATATGTA